GCGTATTAAAATATACATGTATGTCTGTACACCCATCTATGATGTACACAAATACATGTTTGTATACATGTGCACATGGTATGCAAACGTGTATATCCTAGTGCATACACACAACTTGAAAAGGGATAAGTAAATAATCAGCATAACCAGGTTAGCCATTTAAGCAGGACACCTGTACCAGACTTTTAACCCTAAACATTAAAAAATAAAAATACTTCAATTTTTTAAAAAATGTTCTTTATCCACTGATCTTAGAGAATACACGTCTAATTCTTAGACAAAGTTCCAAGTCCCAGATCGATGGCAGGAAAGCAAGAGCTGCCTTGGGAGTATGAGCTGTGAAGCTGAGGGGCAAAGAGCCGCCCTCCTCAGTGCCCAGTGGGGTCACACGGCCCCCGGCCATTCTGGCCATTCCAGCCCACCAGTTTTAGGCCTGCGTATGTTTCTAACCCCACATTCTCGGCCTGCTGTCACTACATTGCATTTGGAGGAGGGAAAGAAGGTGGCCCAGACTCTCATCGCACCGCACTTTAGTTCTTGGGCAATCTAAATGCTTTACAGCCTTTGGGGGTCGTTTTTCCCCTTCTGGGGAAGGCAGTTTTCCGAGCTAGGAGAAGCTGTCCCATGCGCGCACGGGTGGCTGTGTAGGGGGCACTGGGGTTGGAGCCCGTCCTTCTCTCAGCCCGCGGGCGCAGGGTAGACGCCCCGGAGCTGCACCGCAGCGTCCCGCTGGGCTGGCACGGCCGCTTTAGGAGTCACTGGACTGGGTGGCGGAGAGTCACCAAGGCAAGTGCGTAGGACACGGAAAAGGGCACGGAGGTGAGGAGAAGTTGAGGGAAAGGAAATCGGGAGCTCCCATAGAAGCAGCCTAACTGACTCCGGAACTGAGACTGGACTAAGGGAGAAGAAAAAGGGAAAACCGAAAAGCCCCGGCGGAGGGGAGCTGGCCGGCGGCTCCGGGCCCCGCGCCCAAGGCGCACGCAGTGTCCCCCAAGTGAGCGGGCTGCGCCCCCGCCAGGCGGGGAGGGGAGCGTCCCGGCCACCGAGGGGGGAGGGGAGCGTCCTGGCGACCGGAGAGTCCACAAGTGCCACCCACCGCGCCAGGCTGCCGGGGCTCCGGGGGGCGTGCTGCAGGGGAGCCGGGCGGCCGTCCCCAGCCCCCTTTCTGGGTGTGCCTGCACGTCCACTGCAGGGTCACGCTCCCCGGGGAGCTGCGGAGAAGGAAACGTAATGGAAATTGGGCAGCGCGGCTCGGAAGGCCCGGACGGAGGGCCTGGCCGTGAGGAACCGAGCGGGACACCCCTCTCCCCCTCGCGTCTCGGGCGACGGTGGCACTTCTGTGCTTACAACTCGCACCCGGCTGCAGTGCCAGCACGCGGGGCCTGGGGGTCGCAGGGCCCTGGGGAGCCTTCCCGGGAGGGTTCTCTGTCGGTCGGCCTCGCCAGAGCCCAAGAACTCGGGCAAAGCTGTGCGCACTTGGTTCCCGGCCCTCTGGTTACTGTGAGCGCGAGTCAGTCAGCTTAGCCGGAAAGCATATTCTGGGAAATACAGGACAACCCTGCTCCCCGCCCCCCAATGACATAAACACTGCGGAGAAGTAACAGGACAAATGAGATGCGGGAACAGTTATCAGAGAACACGCTGGGAGTTCGAGTTCGCGGGCCCTGAGCGCCAGGTCAGTCCCATGCTTTCTGCCTCAGATGCACCAGATAACAAATGGCGTTGCTGCAGCCGCTGGGAGTCCCCTTTCCCGTCTTCAGAACCTTTGGTTCTGCCACTGGAAGCCCAGGCCACCTGCCAGAACTTCATGGGCCCAGCTTGGCTTAGTGCCTACATGACCCCGTGACCTTGATCCCTTCCCCGCAGTGTGCAGGCACGTCTCTGGTCGTCCTCAGCTGGCTCCTGCGGTGGGCGGAGTTAGGGAATCCTAGAAGCTTCCCCTTGAGAAGGTTCAGACACAAGAGAAGTTCAGAAACATCTGAAAGCTTGAAAATGCAGCCTTAAAAAAAACATTTCTGAGTTTGCCTTGGCTGGGGGCAAAACTAGTTTGGGGCACTCTTCTACTCCTTCCCGCCAAGATGGTCTTGCGAGCAGATTGATCAGCATAGCTACCCAGCCCTGAAGTGTCTTCACCTAGCCCGATGGCCTGGGCAGTGTCTCAGCCAAGGCTTGGCTTTCTTCCCAATTGTATGATTATGCTAATGACCAAAAGAAAGACAGAGGTGACTTGCTAAGTGCCTTCCCATATCTTTTAGAAAAGGATTCCATACTCTAAGAAGTTCTAGGCCAGCGGTGGCTCATGCCTGTAATTCTAGCACTCTGGGAGGCTGAAGTAGGTGGATTGCTTGAGCTCCACCTCAGGCAATCAAGGCAGTTCAAGATTAGCCTGAGCAAGAGGGAGACCCCCCCTTTACTAAAACTAGCTGAGTGTTCCGGCAGGAGCCTATACTCCCAGCTACTAGGGAGACTGAGGCAAGAGGATATCCCAATAGTTTGAGCCCAATAGTTTGAGATTGCTCTGAGTTATGATGATGCCATGGCCTTCTATCCAGGATGACAGAGTGAGACTCTTAAGAAAGAAAAAAAAAAGAATTCCTTTTCAAAAATTTGGTTTTCTTTTCCTAGACCTCAGTTCACCTTTGTCTGAACCCTCAGCATATAATGAAGCTGTCTTCGTGAAAAGGAGATTCCAGAGGGATCAGAAAAAAGGGGGGCACATTCAAAGTTCTGTTTTTGGTTTTGACTTTGTTTTGAAAATTAAGCCTCAGGACAAATTGACTATATTTATTTTTAAGATATTTTTGCTCTAGAGATCCCCAGCCATGGACAATTTAGCCCGCCCACCAGGCATTGTGATTTAAAAATCTCTTAAGGCCCATCTTCCATTTGACCTCCCCAAATTTTCCTCACTTCTGAGATTTTCTTCACAACCAATCTTGGTTTTTCTCTAGAAAGCTTCCTTTATGTTCAGTTGGAGCCTGATTAACTCATTAGGAAAAACAATGTAGCCATGCTAAAAGTGCATTGAAGACAGTAGGACCCACCTTGCTCGTTCTACAGATGAGAAAACCAAGCTACAGGTCAATCAAATCAAATGACGTCAACATGAATGCAAGGTCCCACTAGTGAATAGCAGAGATAGAGCTAGAATTCTGGACTTCTCTCCTCACCATGCCTTGCTGGAAAGGAATCTAGCAGGTCATCCAACAGTTGCCTAGGAAAGCTGAGAACAGGCCTCAAAGAAATGTAGCACCAAAAAATGTATTTGAGTGATCTTAAGGAAGAGAATCGTCTTCACCAATCTGGGTCACACTCTCTGTAGGCACATCTTTTTGCTCTATAGCTAGTCTTCACCTCCTTCCTGCCCTAATCATAGCTTGTTTTCTAGAAACCTGAAGATATTGAAGGCTTTAAAGTCCTTTCAGGGAAAGCCATTAAAAAGCCTATAATGAAACTTTATTTGTATGTTTCTCATTTCAGACCTTTTCAGAACATACAAGGGGAGGTCTTTAGGTTGTGAAGAAGAGAGGGAAAAACAGGCATACCACTTGTAATAGCCAAACAGGTATGGAGTCTGTTTCTAGAGCAACAATAGAATAAATCAGAGCTGTCTACTGATTAAGGCCTAAAGGATTCTACCCTAAGGCCTAAAGAATCATTGTTCATTTGGTGTTACGTCTACTGTTTGCTGGTCAAACCACATACACCAAGACATTCTAACTCTATTTAAGAATTATTGTCAGTGTGTCAAGAGTACAGACACTTTTCATAAATGGAATGATGGGGAGAGGGGGGAAATTTTCAGGTTGTTCTGTATGTTTCAGGGGCAGTTTGGGTTTGTTTGTTTGTCCCCCAGAGGCTGTGCAGCTATTGAAGCCTTTAGAAGAAAAGCTGGTCTATGCAATACTTCGACTGCCATCAGACCATGTCATTTTACCTGGGTTTCTAGGGAAGCTCCCCACAGGATCTGGTACTAGATAATGATAGGTTGCTAATGTAATGGTATCACGGTGCAAGATACTCTTCTAAGTGGGCATAACTAGTAGAACCCAAAGGCAACTTTTTATCTGGTCTCCCATATGCAGGCCTGAGTGAGTATTGTTTGTCTGGATCCATTTGTGAAGATGCTAATTATTCTGCTGTTGAAAAGAATGCTGACATCCTAGTGACAGGTTAGCTGAATGGCAGGCATCTTTATCTACATGATTTGTCTTTTATCAAGAAACCCAACATTTTCCAGCTAAAGATTTTCCAAGTGATAAGCAAAACCTCTTCTTTCAGGCTCAGAATTGGCTTAAAGGAAAAGAATGACGTTTATCATTCCTCTCTTTTGCTGTTTCTTCCCTTCTTTTTAGGGACTCTATCAAAATAAATGGTATCTATTCAAAACACAGTCCTTAGCTACCCAAAAATAAAATAAAAACTTTCCAAATAATTGCTTTGAAGAAAATAGTCATTTATTGTCAAAGCATCCAACATACCCAGATAAACTATAAAGTTTAATAAATCTTTCCAGGGATAAAAGAAACACATAACTATTCAGACTTCATTTCACTGGCACAAAATTACACTTTGTATTAAAAGGAAATACATATTTACATAATTGGTGACATTCTTCATTGAAGTCCATAATCATTTCATTATACGTGCACTTCCCCGTGGAAACTCAAATTGAATGACGACCTCCTTTTTATTCATTTTGTTTATTTTTGTAAGAACACAAACTGTCATCAAGAAATGTAGAAAGCATCTCGCTCTTCCTCCTTTACTTAATATCTAAAATAAATTTTGCCCTTACATATAATTATTACATCTAAACCGTAAGTGCTTAATAATTTAAGTAGAAATGTATGACAAATGCATCAATATGTTGCAATATATGACATTTTAAAAATGTATCTTTGTTTTTGGGAAAGTGAAAATGCGTGCATTCAAAAGAAATCCCCTCAATCAACCCACCCAGTCAAACATCCACCCACCATCCTGGCCCTTGTGTGTGTGTCCCAGTAGACGTTTGAATGAAAGTTCTTGGGGGGTGGGGACGTGTGCTTGAGTGAGGGGTTTGTGGGGGGGGGACTGAGTGCAGGGTTTGGGGCAGGAGGAAGTGGTGGATGTTCTTGCGTGTTTATTCCTGCAGGTGGCTCGACTGTGCGTGTGCGCTCATGGAAAGCCGGGGTCCTTTCCGTGTCAATTATGCGAGGTCATGTGCCTGGAGAGGTGGTGGCGCTCCCTGAAGGACTCGTTGCAAATGGGGCACTTGAGTTTCTCCTCTCGCCTCCGCTTCACCAAGGGCTCCATCGCGTATTCCTTTTTGTGGTGCGACCTCATGTGGTACACCAGGTCGGAGGTCATGCGGAAAGAAGCGTTGCACTTGGCGCACCAGTTCTGCGCGGGCAGACACAGCGAGGTGAAGGAGGGCGGCAGCAGCGTGAGCGCCGACGGCAGCTGCAGCTGCAGGGGCCCCGCGCTTGGGCCAGAAGGCCGTGGCGTACAGGAAGGGGCTCTGCTTGGGCAGCCCGCCGCCGCTGCTCGGCAGGGCCCCGCAACCTCCGTTCAGGTCCGCGGCCCCCTGTAGCTTCACGGCCAGAGGGTCGGCGGCTGCAGGGTAGAGTCTGGTGGGGCCCACGCCGTCGCC